GTTATGAAAAATTTTTTTGTTATAAACAAATTGTATTTTGCAAAATTCGTTAACATCCTGTTATTATACGCAAGAAACCATACAACTTTTCTATTAGAAGTTTTAATGTATCTCGTATGGTTTTCGAAATAGCCAAAAGGGGTCGAAATTTTAAGGGCTCGTTTCACGCCTTAAACCCGCGTCTCAGCCGAAAAAAAAATACGTGTCCCTTATTTTTGCCTGCTTAACAAACCTACGAAGTTTCATCAGAATCGGAAGGGAACACCTGCGTGCCTTTCCTTGTTAGATCACGCAAGTTATTACTAAATATATTGACAGTGATATACGCATACATAGCAATCGACTTATTACTATCGTGATAGTAATCAAATTGTGTGGATGATGAGCGATTAAGAGCATCGAAACCGCGTGAGGTCTTTGGTTAATGGAGCCTACTCAAGAGACCAATTTATAACTCTCAAAGCACCACAATATCTGTGTTGAAAGCAAGAATTACAGATATTTGTGAAAATAATGAAGATATAAAAACAAAGGATAAAAGCAAATAATTATCATTATAAATGACACAATTACAATTTGAACCGGCCTTTCAATTTTACGGAAAATGTGGAAAATACTGAAAATTTGTAGTGGTTTTAATTCGAGGACCAGGGATTGTATATAAGTTTGAAAAATGTTGTAGACATTAGTTTGTAAAATAGAACCTCTTCTAAAATAATGACCTCTTGAAACTTTATAAAGCTTCGGATTTGAGTTTCCAAATGGAGTTTCGAGGATCCACATTTAAAAATTCAATCCAAACCTATCCCTACTAAAAATTGTGGACGTTTCTCGCCTTTGTTTGAATATATCAATCTTATTTTACAGGTCGAACCATTATCGGAGCATTTGTTCAGGTTGGAAGGAAAAAGATGGAAACCGTTAAGAGCTCACTTTTCTCCTATTTTCACTTCGGGGAAATTAAAGGAGATGTTCCATTTAATGTTAGAATGCGGTAAACACTTTGAGAAGTACCTGGATACGACGCTCGGAAATGGGGTAGAATACATCGATTGTCGTGAGATTTCTGCAAAATTCACGACCGATGTGATCGGTTCCTGCGCGTTCGGAATAGAAGCGAACGCATTAGCCGCAGAAGACAGTGAATTTCGTAAAATGGGCAGACAAGTCTTTCAACCAACTATCAAAACTTACCTTAGGGATAGATTGCGGGATTATCCATTCATTTTTAAGCTCTTCGGAAAATACATTGTCGATCATGAAATCGTTGAATTCTTCACGAGAATCACCAAAGAGAGTATAGATTACAGAATAAAGAATAATTTCCGTCGACATGATTTTATTGATACTTTGGTCGAGCTAAAACAAAACCCGGAAAAAGCTAAACTTGAAGGTAAGCATAATTCATTTATTTTATCTCATCTCCTTGTTTCTTTTAAAAAGATATGATAGAATTACTTCGAACGTATTACCTGAATTTATCACCACTAAATTCGAAATTATAATTCAAAATCCATATAATTGTCCAAATTTTATAATAGTTGGTTTCCAAATTCTATTATTTATAGTACGTGATCATTGATAACCTGTTTTTTCATTTTGAAAATATTTAAAAACTCATGTTTGTAACTCATTAAAACTTATATCACACAAGTCGTGTATTGCTATTAGTTAAAATATTAACATACTACTGTTTTGCTTATAGTATTACATAATATATCTTATAAATCTTTCTTCCGATTATTTTTAAAACTAATTTTTCATCTTCCATTCATTCAAGTCTTAAATTTCGTTCCATTCTAGTAAACTTAAATGCAATTCAACTTCGATGACAGACTCTCAAGAATGAATGATCAGTAATTCAAATTTTAATCGATGTTAAATATGTTGCAATGTTAATTTATTTATTAGCTACTATTATACAGACTCCTAAGTGTGATGTAATGTTCCATGTTCTCTTTATAACGCAATTTTATTTGTTCGTATAGATTTGAACGACATTTTCTTGGCTGCACAAGCCTTCATCTTCTTCGCTGCTGGTTTTGAAACGTCCTCGGTAACCGTCACTAACGCTTTATATGAACTTGCACTAAATCAATCAATCCAAGATGCTCTTAGATCAGAAATTAAGGATATTCTGCAACGTGGTAACGGAGAAATCACCTACGAAAATATAAAGGAAATGAAATTATTGGATGGAGTCCTCCAAGGTAATGTTCCTTTTGCGCTTAATAAATAGCGATTTGTAACTCAATAACGTAATGTATCTATTGGATTTAACTTACAAATATTCTAGCGAGTTATGGTTTAAATAAAACCGATCAAGATAAAGTTATTTTATTGAATGGGGGTTAAAAGTGTTATTTACTATTTACAAAATTTGGATTTACTTATTATTATGTTACAATAGAACTATCGTCGGAGAATCTGGACTAATTTGAAATGTTAACTGTTACGTGCGGGAAGCGCGCGTATAAAGCCTCGAAGATTTGTTTGCCCTAACAAAATTAATTGTTAACGGGACTTAATGTTTTTGTGGATCCGGAGATACGCTAGTCCCATACGGGCCCTTTCACAAGATCGCAATGTTTAGAGGAAATGACGGAGGCAATTAAAGAAATGTAATTCAAAACAATTAAAATATACAAAAGATTATATTTTGTAAAATATGAAATGGTTAGAATGGTAGCGTATATAATATAATGTGAATTACAATGAACTGAACAAAAATATTGTGAATATCCGAGACGCGCAATTCAAAGATTTGAAGGAGAAACAATTACTTAAATACAAAATAAAATTATAATCCAGTGAGCGAAATCCCAAAGTTAAATAATTAACTATTGGATTTACTTGCCGAAAAATTCATAAATAGCTGGAAGAATAAAGGA